GAATTCAAAACATTGAGAAAGTAAAATGGGAAACCACTCCACTATCTTTCCCAAGAAGTCTACAACCTGAAGTGACATGACATTTTAAATATACTGGGCTCTCTAGCCTTGAGTGGCAACTAGTCTAGAAGAATTCAAAGTTCTTCAGAACCAAAGGAATTCTGACAACATATCCTTTTTCTTATTTGCAGGAAGTGGATAAGGTTGGTTATCTTGGTTTTGCTCAGTTTTACTGGATCTTGCTTAGTTAAATCTATGTTCGATTTCTTTCTTAGAACTCTTCTTAATTTTATTTTATTTTTTTACAACATGATTTTTAACATTTCGTTTTTAATTTTCTTCTCAGCCATTCAATTTACTCTCCTGAGAATTTTAATAATTATAGTCCAATTAGCAGTCACTCCAAATTACCATTCTGTAATTTCATTAAACATTTAAACATGGTCAGTATCCTGTTATGTGGGAACTGATTATGTGAACATTGTCCAAAAACAATTATTTGAAAACCATTGTTAATAAAATAAATTTAGTAAGAAAAAAATCCTTACAACTTTAATTTATATGATACTACATGCAAATAGTCAACTACTGAAGAACACTCGTTAAAGGATGCCACTAATTTTTTAAGTTTTCTGTTTATGTTGCTGTATTTCTTGGTGCTCATGATATTTTGGCAATCTGCTCTTACTTTTGCAGTATGAATTTCTTACAACTGTTCTCTTTTAAGATCGTCTAAGAATTTCCGTATTGTGGGATGAACTTGCTTCAGAAAAGCCCTATGCTATACTTCAAGGGTGCTATTAGTTCTAAGTAAATCAGCATTGACTTTCAAAGCAAGACCACATACATATTTCAAACAATTATCATTTAGTATAATTGTCCTTTCAATTAATTTTCATTCAAATAATTTACAATTTGAATAAATGTTTGTTGAATAATTATTTTCAAACAATCTTCTCAATATGGTAAGAACCATGGTTCATGGCTTTTCTTTCATCATGTTACTTTGTGAGCATGCAGCCCACTCTCCCTCAGCTTTTAATGAACATCAACAAGATCAAGGCTCTGGATGCCACATAGGGTGATCATTGGCCAGTCAGAGGAAAGCTCAGGCAAGGGTTGCATTATACATTTACATTGGATGTCAAAATTAAAGTTTAGAGCTGTCTTTTTAATGTATTCAATGTGAAACTGTAACCAGCTGAATTTTATGGTGGCCATTATTGGATTGATTTCACTATTAATGGCATGTGAGATAAGCTCAGGTGAACCACTTTCATTCTCTTTATATTTCCTTAGTAAGAAGTAAGTTCCACTCAAACAGCTTCTTCCCTCAAACCGTAACATTATCTTTCCCACATATCCTCATAAACTGCACTTACCCCTTTCTTTTACTGCTCACACAATGACCACTTTCAGTAACCCTCTATCTTCAGTGGCTCTTAAGCCTTGTATAGGATTAACATTAGTAAAAAAAAAGTAATATACAAAGGGGATGTGCAGTGTGATGTAATGAATAACAACTTAGAATAAGAAATTGGAGTGCGACATTCAAATTTCAGTTAGGTTTGTTATAATCATTTACACACAAAACCCTTGAAAAAGGTATGAATCCATCTCTTCTACTCCCCCCACCTGCTATGTGTTGAGTAGCAGGACAGACAGGGTCATATAATCTTGGTTGGCAACCAGTCTACTGCAGAAATAAACAGCAACCTATTTGCAGGAAAATCTTCTGCCTCGTCAGTGATGAATCAAGAGAGACATGATCACCCCAGCACGTATTTTGTATGGCACTAAAATGATTGAATATTCAAAGAAATGTTGTTTTTATGAAAATGCTTTTATCATTAAAAACTTTCAACAGCAGCAACCACAAAAAAAGTTAACAGACATAACTTGAAGAGAAGAGAAAATTATATGATAAGCTTTTAATGTTTCACATGACCAAAAACAAAAAAAATTTTGAAGGAAACTTGCATCAATACTAGAAAGAGCTATAACATTTACCGACAAGTCTAATTTCTTGAAAATATTCATGGGTATGATGATAAACTACATCTAGCAGCAAGGCCTATAATGAGGAGAGGGGAGGTTTTGAGGAGTGGGGAACTACTTCTTAATTACGACTGTTCCCAGGTTCACCCTGATTTGGGATGTTAACATCTGTTAGGATCCCATCTATAGACAAATAGTGACCTCCCCACAAACAAAAGTAAAACACTATGAAAGTATAAAAACACATTTTTATAGTAACATTACCAACAATACATATTTATAGTAGAAGTTTCAACAATACATTTTATAACAAAATGATCAACAATACATTTTACCTGTAGTTGAAGCCATAAAATTGTATTTAAAATATTTAGATTTCAGTATTAAATAACCCATAGAGGTGTTGATATGCCACTAAAGAAAATTAACCAATCAATCAACATGAAAGAACTCTTTTACATGATATCCTACAATATTTTAAAGAAATCAAAATGTATTCCAAAATATAGCTTCAACAAAACTGCAACATAGAACACACATATCACCACCTCTAGTAATTATGTCCATGCAAATATGTATATATGCACAAAAGCTGAGTATCAAGTACCATGTATTCAGTTGCGAAAGCAGAATAACATATCATATTTTTATTACTATAAAGCTTCCAAGAAAATTAAATTTTGGTGTTAAATGACACATAAGTAGTTGATATGCTGTTAAACAAAAAAAAAACAATCAATCAATTATGTAAAATGACCAACAATACATTTTATCTGTAGCTAAAAGCATAGAATTACGTTCAAAATATATTTAGTTGAAGCTATAAAATTGTGTTAAAAATATTTAGATTTTAGCATTAAAATAACCCACAGAGGTGTTGATATGTCGCTAAAGAAAATCAACCAACTAAACAACCAACATGATAGAACACTTTCATGACATTAGTCCATAAAATATCCTACAATTTCTTAAAGAAATCAAACTGTATTCCAAAATAGAACTTCAACAAAACTACAACATAAAACACGCATATCACTGCCTCTAGTAATTATGTCCACACAAAGATGTATATGCACAAAAGCTGAGTATCATCTACCATGTATTCAGTTGTGAAAGCAGAATAACATATATTTTTATTAATTCAAAGCCCCCAAGAAAATTAAACTTCAGCATTAAATGACCCATAATATTTGTTACATTTATTTCACCAACCATAGATTTCATGATCTACAATATATATATATCTAAAAAAAAAAAAAGAAAAAAAAGAAAAAAGAAAACATACCTTTACTCTGAAAGCATAAAATTACGTACAAAATATTTATATTTCGGCATTGAACAATCCATGGAGTTTGATATGCTGCCAAACAATATCAACCAATCAAACAACTCTCTCATGATATTAATCCAAATAATACCTTACAATTTCTTAAAGAAATCAAACTGTATTCCAAAATAGAACTTCAACAAAACTAGAACATAAAACACACATATCACTGCCTCTAGTAATTATGGATATACAAATATGTATATGCACAAAAGCTGAGTATCATCTACCATGTATTCAATTGTGAAAGCAGAATAACAAAACTAGAACATAAAACACACATATCACCGCCTCTAGTAATTATGTCCACACAAAGATGTATATTCACAAAAGCTGAGTATCATCTACCATGTATTCAATTGTGAAAGCAGAATAACAAAACTAGAACATAAAACACACATATCACCGCCTCTAGTAATTATGTCCACACAAACATGTAGATGCACAAATGTTGAGTATCTTCTACCATGTATGAAAGCAGAATAATGTACAAAGCAAAATGGCCAACAATACATTTTATAGAAGGCATACAATTGCATTCAAAATATTTAGATTTTGACATTAAATAACACTTAGAGATTGATATGTGGCTAGACAAAACCAACCAACATGGAAGAACTCTTTCATGACATTAGTCCATAAAATGTCCTACAATTTCTTCAAGAAATCAAACTGTATATAACTTCAAACAAAACTACAACATAAAACACATATCATCGCTTCTAGTAATTATGTACATGCAAACATGTATATGCATAAAAGCTGAGTATCATCTACCACGTATTCAATTGTGAAAGCAGAATAACATATATTTTTATTAATTCAAAGCCCCCAAGAAAATTAAACTTCGGCATTAAATAACCCATAAGAAGTTGATATGACGTTAAACAAACAAATAATCAATCATTTCTTGAAAAGATGTTTTTATAAAAACAAGTTATTAATTCTAACCAATGACACTGTTTCCTCAATGGAAGCCAAATTTTTTCTATTTGGAAACAGATAATTTTACCATAACAGTTACCACTGATTTTACCATTGCAGATAACATTGATTTTACCATTGATTTTACCATTACATTTACTATTAATTTTACCATTTATCATTTGTTACTCATTCTCACTGTATTTTTTTTATAATAAAATCATTCACCATACATTTCTACAGTAAAATCATTTGCAATCTATTGTATGCTAAAATGATTTTCAATGTTTCTTCAGCAAATACTTATTGATATATATATATAAATATAAAAGTGAGCATTGAAGTCAACACTCAGAGGCAACAGGCTGTTTCATGCTGGACGCAATCATCAGGCAACCTGACAATTGCATCCAGCATGAAAAAGCCTGTCGCCTCTGGAGTGTTGACTTCAATGTTCACTTTATATTTATATTTGCATACGCTCTATCTCTGATATTGAGCACTTTATCCCATAAATATAGCATACCATAAAACTATATTTCTTCATATATATATATATATATATATATATATATAATACTGCTCTTCTGTTAGTAATGCTTGCATTAATTCCTGACCACTCACAATGCCTTTCTTACTCATTCACAGTGCATATCTATTGTAAAATCATTTACTGATGATACAAATGAAGAGCATTATCAGATAACAAAATCATGTCACTTGAAGACTTTCAGCTTACAGCTAAATCATATTGAAATACTGGTTCCCATACAATCACCGAAGTTAAGCAATGTCGAACCTGGTTAGTACTTAGATGAGTGACCACTTGCTATAAGCTTGGATGAAGAGCAACGTTCCAATTCTCATTGGGTTCATTATATTCACTTACACACAAGTACCCATGTGATAGATATGAATCCACCTCTTCTCACTCCAGCTATGGGTTAATTAGTAAAACTTGTATCACTAAATCACTGTTATCTCCCCACAAAAATTTTTACCATCTAAAAATATTTTCTGGCTTTAAATAAATCTGCAATCTGCAAATTTAAATAATCTGCAAAGGGTTGATAAGCCATAAAAAGCATATCACTACAAATACATGTATTTTAGATGTATTTACATTCTCTGGATTATAAACGTATTGAAACTACTATGACCAAAAAGTGAGGGATCAGTTTATATATCAACTGTAATTTAGAATTGATTCCCCACTTTATATCAACATTATTATTTCATGTTTGTTTAGCAAATTCTGATTTGGTATGAATCCACCTTTTCTCCCACAGCTATGGGTTAATTAGTAAGAGTTGTATCACTAAATCATTATTACCCCCCCCCCCAAATTCTTACACACTAAAAATATTTTCTGGCTTTAAATAACCTGCAAAGTATTGATAAGCCATAGAAAACAAATCACTCAATTGAAAATTTTCAACAACAATAACAAAAATAGGTAGCACATGAAACTCAAAAAGAAAATAATGGTATAATCAAGCTGTTAACTTTCCTCATGACCATAAGCATAAAGATTGGAAGGAAACTCTTATCAGTATTAGAAAGAGCTATAACATTTAGTGGATTTCAGAAATTTAATTTCTTTGAAAACTATTTTAAGAAGGAGGTTTTATAAATTTCAACAGGGAGTGCTACAAACTGGTCAGTCATGTTGAATGTTTCCTTTATAAAAACAACTAATTTTGCCATTATCGTTAGCATTAATTTTACTATTACCACTAAAAAAAAACTATAGTTGCTCAGGTGTTTCTCTATAAGTTATTAACCTTTGGCAATTGTTTCTTACAGATGGTGAAGGTAATGTCGCCATCTGATACCTCACCTGATAAATCCAGTCATTCGTCAAACGAGAAAACTTCCAATATAGGAACAATGTCTTCCTGTTCCAAAGGAAATGTCCAGTCCCATCCAGCTGAAGAATCCATCTCCTCCGAAGACACCCAAAGCACCTCCCGTCTGCCAGCAGCCTTAGACAGCCACAATTACGCTAAGAGTCCCATTTTTGAGGGCAAACCCATAGAGGAGAAGGAGACAGAAAATAACACTGTTGACCATGGCATGCAGTCCTCCTCTGATAACTCCCACCATTCATCTTCTGGAAAGGAGATGACAAGACTGTCAGCAGAAAATCTCCAGCGTCACCAGCTCCACACTGTCAAAGACAGTAATGTGAAAATTCACATTACGGTCACAGATGATAGAGAAGGAGAAGTGACCCTGCCGAAAACCGTCTCTTCAACTGACGTCACAAAACCCTTAAAAATCGAAACTCGCTTTGGTGGTTCATCCGGTCCCAGCAGTGAGAGCACAGATACTGCCTCGGAATCTGGCAGTGGGTTTAATTCTCCGAACAGCATGCATGTGACATCCACCCAAAACAGTCCGCAGATGCTGCAGGAGAAGGAGGCCGGTGCTGGTCACCTGGCCAATAAATCATTTGAAAGTCTGCATGACAAGGTCATCTCTGAACCTTGTACAATAAAAGAAGAGAAAATGGACTGTGACATCCGCCCCTACAAAGAGCCACATGTTCGTGGAGAAGAAGGACCTGTACGCACAGCACCCATGGGGAGTCATGGCCATGGAAGGTCAAAATTTAGCACTCGTCAAGCTTTCACTCCTAAGGTAAGAAGATAAAGATTATTTTGCCTGAATTTTTTATATATATATATATATATATATATATATATATATATATATATATATATATATATATATTCAGACTTTTATGTTTATACATTCTTTTTATAGATACAAATATTTAAGTAAATGCTCTGTTTATAATAAACAGTATTAATAACATTTACCAGCCTGAATATCGGAGAAATTTTCATAGAAAATATTTGTCCTTTGACAGGAATTGAACGTGTATCCTATACGGAACCGTCATATAGCCTGACGTGCCTTAACTGATTGAGCTACAAAGGATTGTTCGGTTAGCAAGGTCGATTTTACTGTCTTTAAACTACAATCTTCTATGATTCTCTCATATCTGCTCAATGCGTATCCAAATATAAGCAAATGACGTCATACATTATGAAATGGACAAAGTCCAACAATTATTTTAAGACATTTTTATGTTTATACATTCTTTTTATAGATACAAATATTTAAGTAAATGCTCTGTTAATTATAAACAGTATTAATATCTATAAAAAGAATGTATAAAACATAAAAAACAAATGTCTTAAAATAATTGTCGGACTTTTGTCCATTTTCATAATATATATATATATATATATATATATATATATATATATATGAGCAAATATATGGATATAGATCTGACAGTATGAAGAAAAATATACGGAAAAAAACAAACAAAAATCCTAATATGCAATTATGCTGTTTTAATGTTAATATAATGTCAACGTCGGACGTTTCAGTCTAGTAGACCATCTTCAGGCTATATTCATAAAACATAATTAACACTAGACTATATTTAATTCAACATGAAAAGACGATGGACATAAGAGTAAGACTAATCAAAACAGACAACTGAAATTTTTCAAGATCAGCGTTCAGTTTCAATATGATCACATCGGCATCACGTGGGCGATGTTGTGAAAACATATTCCTAAAATATAGTATTTTGAATGAAAAAATAGACCGAAACGTCCGACGTTGACATTAAAACAGCATAATTGCATATTAGGATTTTTGTTTGTTTTTTCCGTATATTTTTCTTCATACATATGCACACACACACACACACACACACACACACACACACAAAATAGTATCACATATTAAAGGATTAAACACGAATTTGGGTTTACTAAGAGAATATCATTTCCACAGGGACCACTCTAACTGATATCAATAACATTCCCTGGGAGAGAGAGTCCCACTTCTTTGTTTATTTCCCATCTAATTGAAAAAGGACACGGGCATGTCCCAAAATTCTTACTTTAAAATCTTTCTCTTTGTGCTTCAATTTAGTCAAAAAGGCCTATATATATATATATATATATATATATATATATATATATATATGTGTGTCCTTTTTTCAATGAGATGGGAAATAAACAAAGAAGTGGGACTCTCTTTTCTGGAGAATGTTATGCTGGATGATTTTATAACTCCTGTCTGATGAGGCAGTTGTCTGCCTGAAATAAATTATTACCAAACTCTTTAAAGATGTATTGAGTTTTTCCTTTCAGACATATTAGAAAAAAAAGAGTCCACGTCTCATTCATATAGTTTATAAAGTAGAATAGATAAGTTGGTTAATAAAACAAAGTCAAACGAAAGGGTACCGATGAAATCAGTACAAAAAAACATTTATTCTTATTAACCAGGTGACACCTGGTTAATATTAATAATACCATTTCGTTTGACTTTGTTTTATTGACCAACTTATCTACTCTACTATATATATATATATATATATAAAATCAATTGTATTGTCAATATTATCATTTTGTTGTCTTTTTATTCCTCAAATTTCATTCACAGGCCTATTAAATTCACACACACACACACACACACAAATATATATATATATATATATAGGTAGTAATCCGTTGGTATAATCCAGGCAAGCCCTATTAACACAACATAGAATTCAAAATATATTAAGATTGACTCACAAAAGAGCGCTATTTATTTTCATTAAACAGAGCAAATTTTCTTTACAATTGGAATGAAGTATCTTAATCCCAATTGTAAAAAAATATATATATAGAGAGAGAGAGAGAGAGAGAGAGAGTTATTCAAAAATAAAAAAGAGCAGATTTCAAAAATTTAATAAAAAAAAATGCTAAGTGACAGAAATGCATTTGACATATTACCCAATAGGCAAAGTTTCAAAGTTGTTAAACTAAATGAAAAATTGTTTTTCAATCTTGTTTAAATACTTTTGTTTTTGTTGGTTTTTTTCAGATTTTGTATAAATTTAAATTGTTATAATGTGTAGAAAAGAGGATCTTGTTCATCATCTGTATCCTCCCTAGTCACCAATTCTTACCCCACGTGATTTTTCAGTGTCTGTCTAGATTTCTGAGATGAGGTATTATGTACACTATTTACATTATTCGAACTATTGTCCTCATCTTTGTCGCCATATTTTTTACAACGTTTCGTCCCTTCTGTATCTGTCTATATTTGAGATGAGGTATTATGTACACAATTTACATTATTCGGACTATTCTCCTCATCTTTGTTGCCATATTTATTACAACGTTTCGGCCTTTCAGTATCTGTCTATATTTCTGAGATGAGGTATTATGTACACTATTTACAATATTCAGACTATTGTCCTCATCTTTTTCGCCATTTTTATTACAAAATTTCGGCTGTTGTCTGCTACGGCCTTCTTCAGGTGGTTGGAATGTCGCACTGAACCCTTTATTTCGCTCACTGGGGTAGACTGTTCTAATTCCACTTGCTATGTTTAATGGATGTCTGCAAATATGTCAACATCTATTTCAGCAGGTTGTTGCATGTATTTTGTTCATTGTGTTGATTCTAAGATTAGTTTCTCTCTTGCAGGACCTCTATGACTTACTGAAGAATGTCGATAAAGAAATTACAACCTGTGAGAATAATCTAAAAGATGAAGTGGACAAGAGGAACAAATACAAGGTGAATATTTTCCGCCTGTTTTTTTTTTTTCTGCTCATAACCCATTTATGGAAGAGTTATCTTCACTTACAGCTCAGCTTTTTGATGTCCTCAAAAGAAGTAACATTCTGCTTAATTTGTATGTATAAGCATTATCTTTTTTTCTTTTCAAATTTTAGATTAGAGTGTAGTATCTGCCCAATCCCTGGCCTTTCTGATCTATTCTTCTTCTAGACTGGTTACCAACCCAGGACCCAGTCTGTCCTGCTTATTTACTCATAGCTGGGGAGAGAAGAGATGGAATCATACTTGTCCTAAGGATTTTTTGCCTAAGTGAATGCTATAAACTCTGCTGGAATTCAAACTAAGCTTTTCAATTTCACATTCCAATCCATATCTAGTAAAAGGAAAACAGATTTCAAACCAGGTTGGGCCCTGTAGAGGCTATCTTGCCCCTGTTGCTATGGCTGCTATACATATTATGCCCCTATGGTCATAATGGGTTATGGGATACATGATCATGTTGTAAGTCTTACAGCCTAAAAATATTTTCAGGCTTGCAAAAGGTTGATAAGCCATAAAAAAAAGAATTGATCAATCAATCATTTTCTTAGATAAAGTATTTTCAGTTATTATTGATTTTATTACTCATATTGCTTTCATCTTAATTTCAATTACTTTTTATCTCAAATTTTATACACTTGTTCTACAACTGGTGTTAACAGAAAAAAAACAAAAAAAAACGAGAAAATGAATTTAACAAGTTTCAATTTTCTCAACCATTTTCCAGCCTAAAAAGTCTGCCTTCTCCATCTTTGCAGATTGATGACTGTCGACGGACCCACAGTTACGACCAGTTTATCTGTACTTTCCTGTCCATGCTGGCTCAAGAAGGACATCTTGCAGAACTTGTAGAACAGCACATGCTGACCACAAAGCGACAGGGGGTCAGCGTCGGACGGCTGAGTAAGCTGCCAGCCACCACTCCAGACAGACGCAAACGAGCCAGAACAAAGCGCAGAAGATGAGTCGATTGCCCCCCCCCATCTTTTTGTCCTCCCCGCCATCTGCATTGTGAACACATCCCATTCCTCATCATCTTTTATCTCCCACCGCACACTTCATTATATTCTTCTACACTCCCCACCCACCCCAACCTAGTTCTTTTTAAATCTTAAACTTTGGCCATTTGCTAAAGAAAATGAATCATTTATGTCTTAATGGCTTTCATTGCAGAGATTGTAAATTTTGTCATTAAACTGAAATCTCACTTGACAGCCTTGCTTATTATTTTTATTTTTGTTGATAATTACAAAAGCTGGACCCGTAGAAATACTGCAGTATTTGAACCTCTTACCAGGAGATGGTAATAGTAATGGTGATATTATCCGTTTCCTTATAAGGAAACATTTGGTGTTCATTGACCAAACAGCCAGTGCTACTCAAGTTACACTTTTCTCCATTCCTGACAATTAGACTGGGAGCAAAGTGTAGCATCTGTTCTCTTCAGCTCTATTGGTAATGGTAATATTAGCCATTTTCTTACAAAGGAAACATGAATTAACTTTTAGAATTGAATAAATTATGATCTGAATGATATTTTAATACTGAATGGAGATTTAGAATTGAATGAATTTGAATTTGAATCTAGTTTTAGAATTGAATGAATTTTAATTTGAATCCAGCTTTAGAATTGAATGAATTTTAATTTGAATCCAGCTTTAGAATTGTATGAATTTTAATTTGAATCCAGCTTTAGAATTGTATGAATTTTAATTTGAATCCAGCTTTAGAATTGTATGAATTTTAATTTGAATCCAGTTTAAGAATTGAATGAATTTTAATTTAAATCCAGCTTTAGAATTGAATGAATTTGAATTTGAATCCAGCTTTAGAATTGAATGAATTTGAATTTGAATCCAGCTTTAGAATTGAATGAATTTGAATTTGAATCCAGCTTTAGAATTGTATGAATTTGAATTTGAATCCAGCTTTAGAATGGTATTAATTTTAATTTAAATCCAGCTTTAGAATTGAATGAATTTTAATCCAGCTTTAGAATTGAATGAATTTTAATCCAGTTTTAGAATTGTATGAATTTTAATTTGAATGAAGTTTTAGAATTGAATGAATTTTTATTTGAATGAAGTTTTAGTATTATAATTTGCATGTAACCATAAATTCTATACTAACAGTTTCTTCTCTGACACTTCTCACTGATGGAACACCTTTGCTTTTCATCAAATTTGATCTTTATAAATGTTAATGCTGTGTCAATCATTATCTTCTGTCTTCTATTATCTTTAAACATCTTTTACAATAACAATGTTTTTAGAATGACAGTATTATCTATTAAATAAAAAAATAGCAATTATAATAACACATATTCACAAAATAGCAATAATAATAATTGTAATTGTCAAAATAAAAATAACTTCTCACTTAATAAATTTTTAACTAATAATATAATAATATAAAGCATTAAATAATATTTAAACAGAGGAAACAAATTTATATTGGAGCAACTGAAACCACTTTTAAAGAAAGATTTAATAATCATATGATGTCATTTAAAATAGATAAATACGCAAATAGTACAACATTATCAAAATATATATGGATTCAAAAAGAAAATAATATACTTACTAAAGTTAAATGGGAAATTGCA